GGGGAGGAGGGGGAGCAGGGGTGGGGAGGAGATGGTCAGGCTGTGGCACCCCAAGCCCTCTTTGAGGGGGGATGCTCTTTGCTGCAGGAGCGCAGCCCAGGCACTCCCGTATTGCTCTCCCTGTCTGGTCATCCCCCAAGACAGGCACAGAACCCTTTGCGGTGTCCCCAGTACCCGAAAGCTCGGACTTTCCCACCCCTGAGGCCACAGTCACGTCCCTCTATGCCAGGGGCCAGCCCTGATGCATTTGTGACGCTCCCAGCACAGAGTTTGGGGGCAGCCCTGGCCCCGCCGCGCCGGGCTGGGGGGGTCAGGGGTGTTCCTGCCGCTGTGCAGGGATGGGACCTGTTTATTTTCTTTTTGTCCGTATTTTTTTTTTTTTTTCCAGCAGCTGGCGGGTGAGGTCTGTCCGCCGCCCACAACAGGAACCGGGGGCAGCGGGGCACAGCCCAGCCCTGCCCGGCGCGGCTTCCCTGGCACGGCGAGGGCCGAGACCCCCCTGGGGCAGGGAGATCCGCAGTGGCCGCCGGGCTGAAACCGGCCACAGCTCGTCCCCGCGGGGGTCACACGGTGAGGTCCCCCCGCGGGTGGGGACCCGGGGGTCCCTCCGCAGCCCCCGCCGGCTGCCCGGGCGCCGGGCCCCGCTCCTGCGGCCGGCGGCAGCAGCCGGGCCGCGCCGGGGGCCCCTTGCGCAGGAGGTGGGCGAGCTCGGCCAGGCTGAGCAGCGCCGAGACCAGCCCCACCACGAAGTAGAAGTGGATGAAGACGGTTTTCTCGGTGGGGCGGGAGACGAAGCAGTCGACGCGGTGCGGGCAGGGCCGGCGGCGGCACACGAAGAGCGGCTGCACCCTGAAGCCGTAGAGCAGCGCCTGGCCCAGCAGGAAGCCCAGCTCGGCGGCGATCCGGGCCACCACGCTGCCCACGTAGAAGGGCTGGAGGCGGCGGGCGCGCTGGCCGGGAGCCCCCCCGCGCCCCGGCTTGGCCGCCTGGTGCACGGCGAAGATGACGAAGAGAGCGGCGGGCGCCGAGAGCACGACGACGTGGAAGACGAGGAAGCGATAGTGGGAGATGGGGAAGGCGGCGTCGTAGCACACGGGTTTGCAGCCCGGCTGCTGCGTGTTACACACGAACTCCTCCTGCTCGTCCTCGAAGACGTCGCTGCCCACGGTGGCCAGGACCAGGATGCGGAAGAGGAGCATCACCACCAGCCAGAAGCGGCCCACCATGGGCGAGTGCTCCTGCACGGCGTCCAGCAGCGAGCTCAGGAAGCCCCACTCGCCCATGGCCGCGCTGCGGGAGCGGGGTCAGCGCTGGGGGGGACGCAGCGCCCGCCAGGTCGGACCCCGGCGGCAGCACGGCCCCTCCAGCTCTCCATCCTCCCGCCATTCCCGCTCACGGGAGGATGCCCAGGCACTGCCAGCCCAGCTCAGCCCTGTCAGCAGCGTCCCCATGCACCCGCCGTGCTCAGGACTCGCTCCCCCAGAGATGGGTCCAAGAACACCAGCAGGGGCAGGACCAGCAGATTCCCCATGCCCAGTCCCCCTGCACAGCTCGGCCTGGCTGAGCTGTGGTCCCCCACAACAGCCCCGTACCTGTGTGGGCTGTGCTCCACGGTGTGCCAGCGCTGCTGGCGCCGGCTGTCCAGGGCCGTCCCGGACTGTCCAGTCTCTTTGTCCAGCTGGGACGGATAATGGTCCTACAGCCACGCCTGGAGTCCTTTTAAAGGGACAGAGCACCCGCAGGGGCGCCTGGAGGCAGGGAAGGGCTCCGCACTGCCGGTGGGGCTCAAGGACAAAAGCTGCCCTGCCCAGGGCCAGCAGCTCCCAGGTTGGGAGAGGGGTGGTGGCTGCCTCAGTTCAGAAATGCTCCCAGACTTTGTCCTTCCTAAACCCCACAGGGCCTCAGGGTCCTCAGGACACAGCACTTGGCCCCCAAAAGACCCCCACTGGCATCACCCCCATGACACATCAGAGCCTGGGTACACCCAGCCCTGCTGCCACAGCTCCAGCCCTGGGGGATGCTCACGGCTGGCACCAGCCCTCTCTGCCCCAGGACGCTGTGCCAGGGCTGTTGGGGGTCCCATGGATATTCCCAGGTTGTCCCCAGCTCTGGCACATGTAGACTAATCCCTACAAAATCCTGTGTGGCACGGCCAGGACTCCTGCCCAGTGCTGACAGCATTTGGTGAGCCCTCAAATCCCCTTTCCAGTAACGGGAGCAGAGCCCTGGACAACACAGGTCACCCTCAGACCCCCCTCACCCCCTGGGGACGTGCAATGCCCAGGGTGGGTAAGTGCCCGATGCCCCAGAGCCCAGCTCCCGCCCGACAACATCCCCAGCACCCCATCCAAGGTTTTGGGGTGGGAAACTCCTGATACAGACTCCATGGTCCACTCTGTGTTCCCAGAGCTCTACATCCCCATTAGGGTGATGGCAGAGTTCAGAGAGCAGCCCCACAACCCACCCGTGGCTGTCCTGGGTCGTGTTCTGCAGCAAGAGGAGCCGTAAATAGCCCGGCCTGCGGAGGGGACGCGCCGGAGACGCTCTCCAGAGCCAGTGGAAAATCTGACAGCGCTTTCCACACTTGACTGGGTTCCAGCAAAGCACCGATAGCGCGGGGGGCCC